CCTCTCCACTCTCTGTGTAACTCTGACTTTCAAATAAATAACTAAATAAATCTTTTTTTAAAAAAAGCCTCCTGTCATTTAATTAATAAATTAAAAAAGATGTATTTATTTGTTTGAAAGGGAGAGTTAAACAGAAAGCGATATGGGGGGAGGAGAGAGAGATACTGGTCTTCCATTCACTGGTTCACTCCCCAGATGACCACAATGGCTAGAGCTGAGCTGATCCGAAGCCAGGAGCCAGGAGCTTCTGCATTTCCCACGCAGGGCAGAGGCCCAAGCACTTGGGCTATCTTCTACTGTTTTTCCAAGCCATAGCAGAGAGCTGGGTTGGAAGAGGAGCAGCTAGGACTCGAACCAGCTTTCATATGGGATGCCAGCACTGCAAGCTGGGGCCTTAACCCACTGTGCCACAGCACCGGCCCCAAAGAGACTTCCCATGTACTTGTTCACTCCCCCATATGGCTGCAAAGGCTGAGGCTGGGCCAGGTGATTGCCAGGAGCCTGAAACTCCATCTTGATCTCCTGCATGGGTAGCAGGGGCCCATGTACTTTGATCATCATCTGCTGCTCTCCTAGGCTTACTAGAAGGGAGTTAGAGTGGAATCAGAAAAGCCAAGGCCTCAAATCTGTGCCTCACATGGGATGCTGGTGTCGCCAGTGGCAGCTTATTCCATAGCACTAGGGCTGTGGCCCTTGTCAATTATTTAGAATAGAAAAAGTAACTCTTTTTGATGTTTCTTGTTTTTTCTGTATCTTTTCTTGGTTTTGCCTTGAATAACCCAATTCTAGGGGTGGAAGTTTAGCTGGGGGACAATTGCATGCACAACCTAATCTCTGGTTTTTAAAATTATTTCATGTTTTATGGTGCTGTTATTTCTGAGCTGGCTAATCACCATTGGATTAGTTTTTGCTGTTTTATCTCTCTTCTGAGAATTTTACCCAGTGCCTGAGTCTGTTGTTTCTGTCAGCCTTGAGATTCTTCTTCAGCATAGTCTACAACAAGTAAATGAACTAGGTAGAACTGGCCCTTTGTGTCTGCTGACATAACGATGTACATATGAAATACTACAGGATATTAAATCATTCAGTTAACCCAGTTCAACCAGTCAACTCTGAGGAGGTTGTGCTGAAATGCCATTTAAAGTTGCCTCTTAGAGATCATGCAAAAGGAGGCCATCTGGAGAGGGGACACTTTAGAGGATGGAGATGACACACTTAAACCTCTGGCTCTGCTTAGGCATAAATGTATAAGGCTACACTGCACGATCATGTTTCTTCTGCAGCATCACATGGTAGGCTCCACATCTGAACTATATTGACGGTACTTGATCTTTTTCTTTTCTCCTGGGTTCCAGAAGACATATTTACTTCTATACTTTAGCCATTTGTTAAGAGTTGATGTAGGGATGGGGCCAGTGTAGTGGCGTAGTAGGTTAATCCTCCGCCTGTGCCACCAGCGTCCCATATGGGCATTTGTTCTAGTCCCAGCTGCTCCTCCTCGAATCCAGCTCTCTACTGTGGCCTGGGAAAGCAGTGGAAGATGGCCCAAGTCCTTGAGCCCCTGCGGCCGCGTGGGAGATCCAGAAGAAGCTCCTGGCTCCTGGCTTCGGATCGGTACAGCTCTGGCTGTTGCGGCCATTTGGGGAGTGAACCAACGGAAGGAAGACCTCTCTCTCTGTCTCTCCCTCTCACTGTCTGTAACTCTACCTCTCACATAAATAAATAAAATCTTAAAAAAAAAAAAGAGAGTTGATGTAGGAAATATCCTTTGTAAACTGTTATTGATTAAATACAATTTTGATTATCTATTTCCATCTTTAAAAGATTTGAGAAGGATGGTCATTTGGCACAGCAGTTGAGACATCACATGGACACCTGCATTTCAAACTGGAGTGTCCGGTAGTTCTAGCCCCGCTGATTTCAGCTGCTTGTTAGTATGCCCCCTGAGAGGCAGCAGAGCATGGGTCAAGTACTTGGGGCCCTGTCTTCCATATTGGAGTTCCAGCTCCTGGTTATTGACTGGCATAGCCCTGGCTGTTGCAGGCATTTGGGGGAGTGAACCAACGGAAATCTCTGTCTATTTCTCTGTGTTTCTCTGCCTTTCAAATGAAAACATACAATTTTTAAAATGGTATTTGTGACAAATATGCCTAAAATTGGGAGGGGGGAATCTCTTTTCAGTAGAATTCTTATAAGTTAGTAGAAGGCAAAGGTATTTTGGCCTACTGGTTAAGATACCCACATCACGTATGATACACTTGGGTTCCATACCTGGCTCCAGCTTCTGATACCCCGTGTTAATGCAGATTCTGGGAGACAATGGTGATGCTTCAAGTAATAGTAATAGGCTCCCTGTTATCCGCTTGGGAGATGTAGACTGAGTTGTTGGTTCCCAGTTTCAGCCCCAGCCCAAGCACCAGCTGTTAGGGGCATTTGGGAAGTGATCCAGTGGATGTGGGAGCTTGCCTGCACATGCTCTTGTTCTCTCTTTCTCTTTCTCTCTCTCTCTCTTTCTCATAAATAAGTGAAGAAATAAAATTGGGAAAAAAGTGGAAGAGGGGCTAGCATTGTGGCCCATCAGGCTGAGCTGTCGCCTGCTGGGCCAGTATCCTATATGGGCACTTGTTTGAATCCTTGCTGTTCTACTTCTGATCCAGCTCCCTGTTCCTCTGCTTCGGAAAGCAGCAGAAGGTGCTTGGGCCCCTGCACCCACATGGGAAACCCTGAGGAACCTCCTCTAACTCTGCCTTTCAAATAAACGCATTTTTTTTTTTTTAAGTAGAAGAAACCTCTTGGTTATGGACAGGACTGTTTCCATAACTTCCAAAGAGAAGCAAGTTGTACTAGAAGCTCCAGTTGGCAGATAGGACTTGGGAGGCTTTGTCATTCACAGTGTTAACTCTCCCTTCAAAAGGGAGAGTTGGCCAGCGCCGCGGCTCAATAGGCTAATCCTCTGCCTGCGGAGCCGGCACCCTGGGTTCTAGTCCTGGTCGGGGCGCCGGATTCTGTCCCGGTTGCCCCTCTTCCAGGCCAGCTCTCTGCTGTGGCCCGGGAGTGCAGTGGAGGATAGCCCAAGTGCTTGGGCCCTGCACCCCATGGGAGACCAGGAGAAGCATCTGGCTCCTGCCATTGGATCAGCGCGGTGCCCTGGCCGCAGTGCGCTGGCTGTGGCGGCCATTGGAGGGTGACCTAACGGCAAAGGAAGACCTTTCTCTCTGTCTCTCTCTCTCTCACTGTCCACTCTGCCTGTCCAAAAAAATAAAAAAAGATAAATTTCTTAGGGATTGGGTACTTTTCTCTAAAACGTATTTTAGTTATATGGTGATGATTCAACATCTTACTTAAAAATATAGTCCATTAACCCCCTCCCATTCTTTTTTTTGTAAAGATTTTTAATTTATTTCAGAAGCAGTTAGAGAGAGAGAGAGAGAGATCTTCCATCTGCTGATTCACGCCCCAAATGGCCAAAACAGCCAGAGCTGGGCCAATCCAAAGCCAGGAGCCAGGAGCTTCTTCCAGTTCTCCCACGAGGGTGCAGGGGCCCAAGAACTTAGGCCATTTTCTAGTGCTTTCCCTGGCCATCAACAGGGAGAGGATATACGTAATATACAAACATTTATCTTGTTTTATTCTTCTTTATTTTCCCAAACCACTTCATGACGGTGAAATCCTAGTTCAGTGGTTCAGTGAAACATGGAAATGAGGGCATGCTTCCAGTGCAAGTAGATGTGCATCTGGGGACAACTGGATGAGTTGACTGATAATGCAGGAGGCATGATCCTGGTACTTCCTTCTACTTTGCTTTGAGGTAGATAGATTTTTTTTTTTATTTGACAGGTAGCGTTATAGACAGTGAGAGGGAGAGACAGAGAGAAAGGTCTTCCTTCCGTTGGTTCACTCCCCAAATGGCCACCACAGCTGGCGCTGCACCGATCTGAAGCCAGGAGCCATGTGTTTCTTCTGGGTCTCCCATGGGAGTGCAAGGGCCCAAGCACTTGGGCCATCATCCACTGCCCTCCTGGGCCACAGCAGAGAGCTGGACCGGAAGAGGAGCAACCAGGACTAGAATTTGGCACCCATATGGGATGCTGGCGCCACAGGTGGAGGATTAACCAAGTGAGCCACGGCGCTGGCCCGAATCTGTGCTTTTAAAAAGTAACTTTATTGAGGTATAATTTACATACCATAAAAATCACCCATTTTGGGGGCAGGTATTTGGCACAGAAATTAAGATGCTGTTTTGGATGCCCGCATCCTGTGTTGGTGTGCTTAGGTTTGAGTCCCAGCTCCATTGCTAATTCTGGCTTCCTGCTAGTATGTACCCTGGAATGTCACTCAAGTAATGGATTCCTGCCACCTAGACTGAAGTCCAAGCTCCCAGCTTTGGTCTGGCTTAGCCCTGTCTATCGTGGGCATTTAGGGAGTGAACCATTGGGTGAGAGCTTGCATTCTGTTTCTTAGATAAATAATAAAAATTAAAGTAATGCTTTTGGAAATATGTATTATGAAAAATGCATGGATTTCAAAATATTGAGCACCAAAATATTTTAACTCCTTTTTTTAAATGAACTTTTGGAAGTACCCTTGTATATCCTAGAAACCCTACTATAGGGGGACAATGCTCTGACACATGGGTTAAGCTGCTGTCTGCAGCACTGGTGTCCCATATGGACACAAGTTCAAATCTTGGTTGTTGCACTTATGATCTAGCTCCCAGCTGCCTGCTGATGTGCCTGGGAAAGCAGCAGAGGGTGGTCAGATACTTGGGCCCTTGCTCCCATTTGGGAGACCTGGAGGAAGCTCCCAGCTCCTGGCTCCGGCCTGGTCCAGTCCCAGCCATTGCACCCGTTTGTGGACTGAATCAGCAGATGGAAGATTTCTCTCTCTGTCTCCCATCCTCTCTAATTCTGACTTATAAATAAAATAAATCTTTACATTAAAAAAAACAACAACAACAAGAAACTCTACTCTAGTAACTTTTTTGATGTTTCTGTTTTAAGGATCTTCAACTGAATTCCTTGAAGAGAAAATGGGCTACCAGGAATATCAGAACAGCCAGAACTGGCCTGAAGATACAAATTTTTGTTTCGAGCCTGAGCAAATGGTGAATCCTGTCCAGAACGGTAAGCATAGGTTTGCCTGTAACTCTTGCCCATGAGCTGTGACATAAAAATGGAAAAAGCACAACCACTACTCAGAAAACGTTTAAGCTTAAATATAGGTCATAAAGCACAAGCAAGGCATAATTATTTACTCAGAACATCTATTGACCTTTTTTTTTCATTGATTGTTTCTTCTGAGGCACCAAATGTCCTGTAGTTCTCTCTGTTTGAAAACCTGTTTTGAATAAATTATCTGAACTTCATATTCTTTGAAAAATAGAACCGTAATTCTTCCCGAAGTAATTACAGTAATAAAACACTATTTGTTGAGTGCCTGTTTTGTACCAGTCACCTGCTCTTGCCACTACATACATATTATCGGTGTTCCTTACCTAACTATGCCAAATATATATTATTATTCTCATTTGACAGAAGAGAAAACTAGCTCATACGCAATTCCTATAATTTTTTTTCTTTTTAGAAAAAGCTTATCTGTAGTTGCCAGAGCTGGAGGTGGTAAGCATTGTGAATTGCAAAAGGGCCTCAGAGGAGTTCCGTTGCTTCCTCTGTGTCAGTTGGCCCAGTTGAGAGCTCAGGTTATTGGTTTCCACTTAGACATGGCATCATTTTTCCCATCTAATGTATAATATGTCCGTGGTTGGTTCCAAAGGACTGGTATTTGTGATGTTTCTTTACCATTCTCCAATTACTGACTTTTCTAGATTCATGGTGATTTTTAAGATATCGGAGGGGCTGGAGCTGTACTGTAGCTGGTAAAGCCACCGTCTGTAGTGCAAGCATCCAATATGGGTGTCAGTTTCAGTTCTGGCTGCTCCACTTCCAATCCAGCTCCCTGCTAATGCACATGAAAAAGCCGCTGAAGATGGCCAGAATTCATGGGCCCCTGGACCATATGGGAGACCCAGATGAAACTCCTGGCTCTGGCCTAGACCAGCTCTGGTCGTTGCGGCTACTTGGGGCATGAACCAGCAGATGGTTCTCTCTCTCTACCTCTCCCTCACTGTAACTCTGACTTTCAGATAAAATAAATAAATCTTTAATATATATTAAATACCCTCGTGGGTGGGTACAGGGGCTCAAGGACTTGGACCATCCTCCACTGCTTTCCCCAGGCACATTAGTAGGGAGCTGAATTGGAAGTGGAGCAGCTGAGACTTGACCTGGCTACCATATGGGATGCCAGTGCTGCAGGCTGGGGTTTTCACCAGCAACCAGCTGTACCCCAGCGCTGGCCCCTTTTGATCCTTTTTGGGTAAAAAAAAAAAAGAAAAAAGAAAAAAGAAAGAAAGAAAAGAAAAAGAAATGTTTGAAAGGTAGAATTAGAGAAGGAGGGGTATAGAGAGAGAACTTCCATCTGCTGGTTTACTCCCCAAATGGCTGCAACGGCCAGGGCTGTGCCAGGCTGAAGACTGAAGACAGGAGCCAGGAGCCTCTTGTCTTCCAGATCTCCCTCATGGGTGCAGGGACCCATGGACTTGGGCCATCTCCTACTGCTTTCCCATGTATGTTAGCTGAGAACTGGATCAGAAGTAAAGCAGCTAGAACTCAAACAAGCACTGATATGGGATGCTGATTTAACTGTGTCACCACAGCACTGGTCCCTTGAGTAAAATTTTTTATATGAGAGAACTTTAGGAAGTTCCTATTTGGGGCAGGTGTTGTGGTGCATTGGGTTAAGCCACTGCTTGGAATGCCTGAATTCCATATCAGAGTGCCTGATTTGAGTCCCATTTACTTTGTGTTTGCCATCTAGCTTCCTGCTGCTGCACTGGAGAGGCAGCAGCTTAAGTAGAGAGCTTCCTGCTACCGGCTTTGGAGACCCAAATAGAGTTCCTGCCTTTATCCTGTGGGCATTGGGAGAATGAAGTAGCAGATGGAAACAGTCTCTCTCTGTCTCTGTCACTCTGCCTTTCAAATAAATAATTACATCTTTTTTGAAGGTCTGGCAAAAATAGAAATATTTAAATGGGAGACCTGGATCATATTCCCGGCTGGTGTTTTTTGCCCTGTCCCATTTTGGACACTGTGGGTATTTAGAGAATGCAGCAGCAAATGGGAGCTCTCCCTGTTGGTGGTTTCTGTTTGTCTGCCTCTCATATAAATAAATAAAAATTTTTAAAACTTTATTTTGATGCAGAAACATTTTCAACTGCATGCATGGTTTTTTCATAATATGCATTTTTATAAACTTTTTGAAGCCCTCTCTTATGGTTAGAGTTAAGGGTCCAAATTCTATTGTATGAATAGATGGAATATAACAGAATGGATACCTATTGGAATCCCATTGTCCCAGCTCCATTATTTGAAAAGACTGTTTCTTCCACATTGAATGATCTTGGAATTCTTGTTGAAAATCCGTTTAACATAAGTGCACAGTTTTGTTTCTCAACTCAATGCAGCATATGCTGAATGTATTTGGTTTCTTAATTTCATTTTCAGATAATTCATTGCAAGTGTCTAGAAATATAATCACTTTTGTTTATTGATCTTATTATCTTCCAACCTTGCTGAACTTATTTATTAGTTTTAGTGATTTTTTTTTTTTTAGTGGATTCTTTAGGATTTTCTAAAGACTTTCAACTGTGGTCTGAAAATGTTAGGTGGTTGGCTCAGTTATGGTCTTTGTGGCCATATGAGGAGTGAACCAGAGGATGGAAGCCCTCTCTTTCTCTCTTTATGCCTGCCTCTACCTCTGTGTAGCTGTGCCTTTCAAGTAAATAATAAATAAATCTAAAAAATAGGTGGGAAATTCCAGAACTAAATAACTCATATGTTTTAAATAACCTTTATATAGTATATCATAATTCTTCTGTTTTATGACTAGTTATTCATCTCTTACTGTGAAAAATTTACAGATTAAAATTTGTCATAGGTATGTATGCAAAACCACATAGTGCACATGTGTAAAGGTTTTGAAATCATGCAGTTTCACACATCCCCTGGAGTTTTTAGAATATGTCCCCTGTAGATAAGGGGAGACTGTTGGAGTTTGACCTTTTTCTTTCCAGCCTGGGTACCTGGGTGCCTGCTTTCCTTCCTTCCCTCCCTCCCTTTGACCTTTCCCCCTTGCCCTTCCTTCTTTTCCCTTCTCTTTCCTCTCTCTAGAACCTTTAGTATAATATTAAATAAAAATGAGAATGAAGGTAAGCATGTAACTGCACTGTTAAAGATGCCAGTGTTGGGGTTGCTGGTATGGCAGTGGGTTAAGCCACCATCCACCACTTGAGATGACTGTGTCCCTTATCAGAGTGCTGGTTCAAGTCCCAGACACTCTGCTTCAGATCCAGCTCTCTGCTTATATGCCTAGGAAGCAAGAGATGATGGCTCAAGTAATTGAGTTCCTGGCATCCACAAAGGAGACCTGGATGGAGTTCTTGGCTCCTGAGGTCTGAACCCCTATTTGGAAGATCTCTCTTTCTGTCTCTTTCTCTGTCACTCTGATTGACCATTGATCGATTGGTCATAAAATAAAAAGACACTACTATCCCTCATTAGGTAGAGTAGTTGGATTCAGTTTCCAGCTCCAGCTCCTGATTGGATCCTGATTCCAACTTCTGCTAATACAGACCCTGGGAGATAGTGGTAATGAATCAAGTAATTAGTTTCCTGCCACTCATGAGGGATACAAGTATTTAGTACCCAGCTTCTGGCTTTGGCCCTGGCCAGGGATGCCAGCATTTGGGGAGTGAACTGGTAGTAGATGGGAGCTCTTTCCCCTTCTTGATTCTGTTTCTGCCTCTGAAAAACAAGAAAACAGAAAACAAAGCAGTGATGAGAGTAGATGTCTTTGTTTTATTCCCTGGTTCTTTTTTTTTTTGACAGGCAGAGTGGACAGTGAGAGAGAGAGAGACAGAGAGAAAGGTCTTCCTTTGCCGTTGGTTCACCCTCCAATGGCCGCCGCGGCCAGCGCGATGCGACCGGCGCACCGCGCTGATCCGATGGCAGGAGCCAGGAGCCAGGTGCTTTTCCTGGTCTCCCATGGGGTGCAGGGCCCAAGCACCTGGGCCATCCTCCACTGCACTCCCGGGCCACAGCAGAGGGCTGGCCTGGAAGAGGGGCAACCGGGACAGAATCCGGCGCCCCGACCGGGACTAGAACCCGGTGTGCCGGCGCCGCTAGGCGGAGGATTAGCCTAGTGAGCCGCGGCGCCGGCCTATTCCCTGGTTCTAAGAGGAGGCATCTAGTCTTTCACCATTCAATATGCTATGAGTTATGCATGTTTTGTAGATACCTCTTTTTTTTTTTTTTGGACAGGCAGAGTGGAAAGTGAGGGAGAGAGACAGAGAGAAAGGTCTTCCTTTTGCCATTGGTTCACCCTCCAATGGCCGCTGCAGCCGGCGCACCGTGCTGATCCGAAGCCAGGAGCCAGGTGCTTCTCCTGGTCTCCCATGGGGTGCAGGGCCCAAGCACTTGGGCCATCCTCCACTGCCTTCCCGGGCCACAGCAGAGAGCTGGCCTGGAAGAGGGGCAACCGGGACAGAATTTGGCACCCCGACCGGGACTAGAACCCAGTGTGCTGGCGCCACAAGGCGGAGGATTAGCCTATTGAGCCACGGCGCTGGCTTGTAGATACCTTTCATCAGAATAAAAATATGTCCTTCCAGTCCTAATTTGTTAAGTGTTTTTATCACAAAATGGTATTGATTTGGTCAAGTAATTTTTTTGTATCTGTAAAGATAATTTTGTATCTTTTTATTTTTTCTTCTGTTGCTTTGTATTGCATTAAGTGGTTTTTGGATGTTAAACTAACTTTGCATTCCTGCTTATGATCCTTAGGTTTTTCTATAATTTGGCATAGATATATAAGTCTATTTGTTGAGGATTTTTGAAGCCATATTTTAAGACATAGTAGATCATGGACTGTAGTTTTCAAGTGACTTTTTTTTTTTTCAGTTTTGTTTGGGTAGTACTGGAAATGAGTTCTAGTTTGTGAAGAATTTTCTCAAAGATTTATTTATTTTTACTTGAAAGACAGAGAGCTCTCAATTTTCCATTCACTGGTTCATTCTCCAAGTACACACAACAGCCAGACCTGGGCCAAGGTAAAGCCAGGAGCCAGGCACTCCATCCAGGTTTCCACGCTGGTGGCAGCCACTGCCTTTCCGGATACATTATCAGGAAGCTGGTTCAGAAGCAGAGTAGACAGGACTTGAACTAGCCTTTTGATAGGCATGCTGGCTTCACAAACAGCAGCTTAAACCAACTGCGCCACAATGCCATCCCCAAGAATTGGTAGAATTCATTGGTGAAGCTTTCTTAGCTAGGACTTTCTTTTAAGTAGTTTTTTTTTTTCTTTTGAAAGTTTAAAGATAGAAGTCTTCCATCCACTGGTTCATTCCCCAAATGGCCACAACAGGCACATATGGGCTGATTCGAAGTCAGGAGTCAGGAGTTTCTTCCAGGTCTTCCACATGGGTGCAAGGGCCCAAGGACTTGGGCCATCTTCTGCTGCTTTTCCAGTCCATAGCAGAGAGCTGGATCGGAAGTGGAGTAACCAGGTCTCAAACCGGCGCCCATATGGGATGCTGGCACTGCAGGCAGTGGCTTTACCTACTGCACCACAGTGGTGGGCCTGTTACTTTGCTTTTTAAGAGCATACTGCATTGGGAATGTGACAGACACCCAATTAAAAATAAATCATGAATAGGGGCTGGTGTTGTGGCATAGTGGGTTAAGTTCAGCCTGTGCTGCTGGTATCCCATATGAGCTGCTCTGCTTCTGATTCAGCTCCCTGCTAATGGCCTGGAAAACGCAGTGGGACATGGTCCAAATGCTTGGGCCTCTGCACCTGCGTGAGAGACCTGGAAGAAGATCTTGGCTTCTGGCTTTGGTTTGGTCCAGTCCTGGCTGTTGGGGGCCATTTGAAGAGTGAACCAGAATGTAGAAGTTGCTTGCTCACTCTCTCTCTCTCTCTTTCTTCCTCTCTCACCCTGCTTTTCAAATAACTAAATCATTTTTAAAAATTCATGAATACATGCAAAACTTTGTAGAAATCATCCATTTTTCCATGTGATTTAGCATTCTCTCATTCTGATTTGTAAACCCCCAGCATTTACTCTCTGACCCTATAAGCATTCTGTTTTCCTTCAGAGGAATTGTGAGAAGCAGATCAAGCAGCAGCTAGCCCAGACAGTATGGAACTGGGGAGAATGAATGTTTATCATCTCATATTCTAGCCCCTCTGTGTATCTGAAGAAGAAACATGGGGGCCTGCTCCATCCCCAATAATTTCTCAGTTTTTCCTTCTGCTTATGTTCATTTCCTATCACGATTGTTTCTCTTTATCCTGAAAATCCTTATAAAAAGAGGATGGTGTAACTGCTTCAGAGGCAAAGAAATGACCACTCTCAAGGAATGGGGTTTCACCTAAGTGCCTCAGTTTAAGTGGCTTAATTGAAATGATACAGGGAAATAGAAATATCAAGGATAGAGATTCTCAGTGTCCAGCAATCATTATTTTAATAGGCCTTTATGATAGTTATAAGTTAAATTTTGAGACAGTTTCCCTAGAAAGCTTTTTTTTTCCAACTTTAGCATAAAAAAATGTTAGTTTGAGTACCTTTACTCATGCCAACTCCTGAGAGTCTAGAGTTTGTTCCTTCTCTCAGGGTCTTTTACCCATGGGTTGATTCCCCAAATGGCCACGACGGCCAGAGCTGGGCAAGGCTGAAACCAGAAGTTTCTTCTGGGTCTCCCATGTGGGTGGCAAGGGCCAAGAACTTGGGCCATCTTCCATTGCTTCCCCAGGGGCATTAATAGGGAACTGGATCAGAAGCGGAGCAGCTGGAACTCAAACTGGTTGCTCATACAGGATGCTGGCATTGGAAAGCAGCAGCTTAACCTGCTGTGCCACAACATTGGCCCCCAGGCAGTGTCTTAACTACTGTACCAAATGCCCAGCCCTGGTTGTCTTTCTTGAAATAACTTCAAATGAATATATATTATGTAATTATGTTACGATGTGGTAGTTTTCTCTAGAGTTGACATTAATTGTCCTTTCAGTTCTTTGTATTTGTTTACTATCTCATTTAGATAGCCAAATTTTAGAGAATAAGGGATTATATTTTATTAAATCATAACAAGTGAATTCATGAATATTGATTCCCTCTCTTGTACAGTCTCATTAGCTCAACTTATTTAACTTACTAATGGACAGCATAGTAAGTTAACTAATCAGTATTCATCATAGGATATTAAGAAATGTTGATATTTCTAGTTACACTCACTGGGAATGAATTCTGGATTTCTTTTTTCATTCCAGATCCCTTCAAGATGCACCATGATGATGGCCTGGCAGATTTGCTGTTTCTCTCTAGTGGAGCAGCCAAAGCTTCAGCATTTACAGGACAAAATGACCCTCTGAAAGATAGTTATGGTAAGGCCTCTCTAACTGGATTTATTTTGTAGACAGGAAAATTAACTTTTCCTTCTGTGCAGCTTAGGTTCATTGTCTGGGGCCCATACTACAAAAGGCAAATTAGTAAGAGAAAAACAAACTGAAGTTGAACCTGTATATTTCATATATCCAGAGAACAAGTAATTCTGAAAAAGTTAGCTTTAGATCTCTGGCATATATAGTGTCTTCAACAAAGAATAACAGCCGGCGCCGCGGCTCACTAGGCTAATCCTCTGCCTAGCGGCGCCGGCACACCGGGTTCTAGTCCCGGTTGGGGCGCCGGATTCTGTCCCGGTTGCCCCTCTTCCAGGTCAGCTCTCTGCTGTGGCCAGGGAGTGCAGTGGAGGATGGCCCAGGTGCTTGGGCCCTGCACCCCATGGGAGACCAGGTAAAGCACCTGGCTCCTGGCTCCTGCCATCGGATCAGCGCGGTGCACCGGCCGCGGCGGCCATTGGAGGGTGAACCAACGGCAAAGGAAGACCTTTCTCTCTGTCTCTCTCTCTCACTGTCCACTCTGCCTGTCAAAAAAAAAAAAAAGGTGGTTGATAACATTGGTTATTCTAACAGATTTTCTGAGAAGTGACAAGATAAAGGAAACGATTTTGAGTCAGAAGGAGAGGCAAATTGTGGGATCAAATTCGTGATTAAGGCTAGTTACTAAAACTTGTTAAGGGGATTCTTGTGCTGCCATCTCCAGGTTGATGAGAGTATAGAGTTGTCTTCAGTGATCAACCTTTGTTCCTCTGCATAAAGAGGGAAAACGGAGACTTTGGAGCATTTATGGCACGTTTTTAGGCACATGGGGGAGAGCAGAGAGCTTTTTTTGGTGTCTTGCTTCTTCTTAATTTCATGCAGTTCAGAATAATCCTCATGCCAAAGCAGCATATTTTGGGATGATGTATTCTGGTCTTCTACGATTCTTTAGCTCCAAATGACCAACGTGGCCTTTCCCCTATCACCTTGTGTTTATTCTGGTCCTTGTAGTTCTTTTTTTAACTCCTGTAGCACAGTTAATACTGTAGGTATGCATTATTTGATATATTTTTGTTAGATTTCTCCAGTCTGCAGTAATTTTCATAAAGTTGTGTTTTACCTGGCTCCTGGCTTCGGATCGGTGCAGCGCAGGCCGTAGCGGCCATTTGGGAAGTGAACCAGTGGAAGGAAGACCTTCTCTCTCTCTCTCTCTCTCTCTCTCTCTCTCTCTGTGACTCTGTCAAATAAATAAATAAATAAACAAATAAAGTTGTGTTTTAATGTTAGCAAGGTAGATGTTGATCTCATTTTACAGATAAAGAAATTAAGGCTCACAATACTGTACACTGTATTACATTGCTTGAGCTGTTGGAGCTAGAGCTCAACATTTGGTATTTTGAATCTTTATAATGCACTATAGAAGGTGGCTGATGGCCGGCGCCGCGGCTCACTAGGCTAATCCTCCGGCTTGCGGCGCCGGCACACCGGGTTCTAGTCCTGGTCGGGGCACCGGATTCTGTCCCAGTTGCCCCTCTTCTAGGCCAGCTCTCTGCTGTGGCCACGGAGTACAGTGGAGGATGGCCCAAGTGCTTGGGCCCTGCACCCCATGGGAGACCAGGAGAAGCACCTGGCTCCTGCCATCGGATCAGCACGGCACGCCGGCCACGGCAGCAATTGGAGGGTGAGCCAACGGCAAAAGGAAGACCTTTCTCTCTGTCTCTCTCTCTCACTGTCCACTCTGCCTATCAAAAAAAAAAAAAAAAAAAAAAAAGGTGGCTGATAACATTGGTTAATAGCACTACTAGAATATTGTGATACTATTACCACCAATTAACATTTAGTCACAACCTGGAATATGTCAGCAGTGTTTTCCTTAAAACTTTTATGCTTTGTTTTTATTGGTTCTTAGGTCTGAGAATAGCAAATGCATTTTTTCCACTGTTGGCTAAGTTTCAAACATGTGCTTGTGTTTCATTATTAGGTCTGTCTCTCTGTGATACATTGGCTCCTGAAACTGTTGCACCTGAACGGTGGTCTGTAGACGCCCCAAATACTCCACACTCAGAATCCCTCATTTCCTCAGAGGACATTATAGAACCCCTGCAGGCAGCAGGTAAGTTTTTAGTAACCCCCTCTATCAGTTAAGGGTTACAATATCAAGAATCAGTATAAATCATGAGATGTAGTTTTAGCAACTTAAAGCAGATCAAAAGTTCAGAACTATCAGTTTTAAAATTTATGTTAGTGATATCGTAGCTGGAGGAGTTAAGTTGTAGTTGAAATACAACACTTGGGGTTAATGAGCAAAGAATATTCCTTATTTTAGTGCAGATTTCATTCTGGTTTACTTGACAGGAAAGGTAACTGTCCAGCTGTCCCATATATTCCCTAATAGTGACTTTGTACCTATGAGGTTTTATTAAGTCTGTGTTTCTCTCCTTTGCTTTTTCTCCTCTACTACTTGTCTTCTCGATATTATTAAAAGTTAAAATTTAACAGAGTTTATTTGAGCAAAAGCAAAAACAGTGATGGAGTGAATTGGACATTCCTCCAGACAGAGCAGGGTCAGAGAAAGTCAGCCAACAACATGATCAGACAATTCTTGTATTTTTAGGTAAACAGATGTGAAGTATTGAAAATAACTTAATTGTGCCCTAGTTGATTGACCAATCAGTTGGTTCATATAATTTAACTAGTTGTTTACAACTTATTCATTGGTCACATGTCTTCTACAAGCAACCAAAGCTCAGTTGCTATGATTAAAGTCTCTGTTGGCTTGGTCTATGGGGCTAAGTGCAGGTGCTCAGCCCAAAGTGATAGCTTCTCTCAAATTCCATGTAACAATATAACTCAGTCTTCTAAGTGTTGGCACTGTCAAAGAGTAGGCAGGATATCTTAACTTGACCGTTTTTAGTTGTGCTTAGTGTCTTGTCACAAAAGCTAAATACCTCTGTTCCCTAAGAAAGAAAGTATTAAATGAGAGTTTTGAATAGACAATGATTGGTCCTAAATTTGCAACTTATTTTCTTTAGAGCAAGTTGAGGAAATAGAAATAATATCAGCAGAAGAGAGGCCACCAACAAAATCACTGGAAATAGGATTGGGACTGAAGAGTACTGACGTGGCACCAGCCACAGAAGCAGAAATGACATTGGCTAAAGATATGGAACCACCCACCTTATCTGAAATGTCCTTAGCCAAGGACATGGCACCAATCATAGAATCAGAGATGGCATTGGCTAAAGATATGGAACCACCCACCAAATCAGAAGTGGCACTCTCTCAGGACATGGCACCAACCACAGAATCAGAGATGGTATTGACTAAAGATACAGAACCACTCACCAAATCAGAAGTGGCATTGGCCCAGGACTGGACACCAGTCACAGAATCAGAGATGTCATTTTCTAAAGATACGGAACCATCCACCAAATCAGAAGTGACACTGGCACAACCATCCAATGAACCAGATATGGTCTTCTCCAAGGACATGGTACTACCCAACGAAACAGAGGGGACCCAAGTTAAAGATGTTGTGTTACCCAGTGAAATAGAGGTCACCCCAGCAAAGGATGCGACGCTATTCAAAGAAACACAGAGGACACCATCTATTGAAATGGACTTGGACCCACCAGAGGGCGTGGTGCCATCCAAAGAAAGAGAGATAGTCCCAGAAGTAGAGATGGCACTGAAGAAGGACATTGTATCATCCACAGAAATACCCTCAACCAAGGAGATGACCTTGTCTGGGGATGTGACACCACCCCCAGAAACCAAGGTGATCTTAATGAAAGATACAGAACTTCCCCTGGAAAAAGAGGTAGCCCCAGTCAAGGACATGGCTCCAACCCCAGAAGAAACAGGAATGGCCCTAATCAAGGATGTGACAATGCCTCCAGAAACAGGGGTGACACAAGTCACAGCTCTGACTCCATCCGCAGGAAAAGAGGAAGCCCCAGTCAAAGATGTAACTCTAATTCCAGAAACAGAAGTGGCTGTGTCTAAAGGCCTTACTGCACCCCCAGAAGCAGAGATAGCCCTGTCTAAGGATGTGGCTCTTTCCTCTGGAAAAGAGGTGACCCTAGTCAACAATGTGACTCCTCCCAATGATGTTGCACCACTCTCAGAAATAGAGGTGGCACCAGTTCCAGTTAAAGACATGGAAATTACAAAGACACAGGAAGGAATGAGCGAGGATTCCCAGTTAGAACCTCTCCAGCATGTGGGGCAATCAACTGTGCCCGCTTCTGTGATTGCACCAGGTATGGGTTTCTGCTTACTCTCCGCATTGCTCTGTACCAAAGTTAGTCTCCTGGAGACTAAGGGAAAGACACCATACCAGGTAAAAAATAAAGACAGTCTCACTCTGTCTGTAAGTCTCTTCATTTTCCTACTCTCCTAGACAACTCTTCCACCTTCCTGAACTTTGTCCATCCTCATTCCTTGCTCACGTTCCTCTTTTTCTTTCAGATAATTGAAGCAATAAAATAAGACAACCATATTTCTATTAGCTTATCTGCCCAAGTACTTGTATCTGTCTCCATACACTCTGCCTTCTCTCCTGTTTTAATAATTGCTCCTGATTAGATCTCATCTCTCTCTCTTTTTTTTTTTTTTTTTACAGGCAGAGTGGATAGTGAGAGAGAGACAGAGAGAAAGGTCTTCCTTTGCTGTTGGTTCACCCTCCAATGGCCGCCGCGGCCGGCGCACCGCGCTGATCCGATGGCAGGAGCCAGGAGCCAGGTGCTTTACCTGGTCTCCCATGGGGTGCAGGGCCCAAGCACTTGGGCCATCCTCCACTGCACTCCCTGGCCACAGCAGAGAGCTGGCCTGGAAGAGGAGCAACTGGGACAGAATCCGGCCCCCGACCGGGACTAGAACCCGGTGTGCCGGCGCCGCAAGGTGGAGGATTAGCCTAGTGAGCTGCGGCGCCGGCCTCTTTTTTCTTATTCAAGTGTACCAACCTAGTTGTTCTCTTCTTTTTGTCTCTCGCCAGTTTAACCTCCTTTTGACTGGATCATTCTCACCAATTTACAAACATGTTTTATCCTCATCTTAAAAAATTAGACCCTCCCAACTCTACCTTGCAAATATTACTCTGCTTCTTTGCTACCCATTATAGGAGAATTTCTCAAAAACTACTCCCATCTCTAGTTTCTGGCAGATGAAAAATGAGCTGAAATAGTGCTCTGAAACTTGTATGTTTGTTTTTACCTTTAGAACTAGTCATACCTGTGGGCCAGAAGTACAGCTTGCCAACAGATGGAGAATCTGTGTTAGAGAAACTAGAGCAGAAGAAACCATTCAGCAGTCAGCCTTCTGAACTTTCTCCAGAGACCTCAGGTAAGTTAGGAAAATAAAACTTGGAGCAATAGGGTAATGATGGTAGATGTGGTCCCTGGTTTCTTGATTGTAAGGTGGCAATCAGGAGTTTTTGAAGTTTTCTTTCTTGGAAGAATTTCATCTTATTTAAAAAAAAAAAAAAAAACTTGTATTTTAAAATTACATCAACTCAAGACACCTAAATTTTGATCCAGTTCAGCTGTGTATGTATTATTCTATCTTGTGTGGTCTTAGGCCTGTTAACTTACCATATCTCGGTTTACTCAGCTGTAAGATGAATAAATTGCTCAAGTGTTCTATAAATCCTTGCTCGTTAGTGTGTTCCATGGCTCCATAGCATCTGTTCTGCCTGGGAGTTTGTTAGAAATTCAGAGTCTTTGACTCCCATCACACACCTTGAATGATAGTCTGCATTTTAACAAGATCCCCAGGTAATTCTGTATATATGCTAACTTTGTTTGAGATACTCTATACTTTCCAACTTAAAGTTTGAATTCTGATTAAATAAACAACATATTTATATCACTTTAGAATCTCTAGGGCTTTGCATGCTGTCTAGCATCATATAGGGACCAAATAAATTAAGTTTTTGATGTTTTACCCACTCAGCATTATCAGTAAAGATTCATCATATGTTTCTTGTATAGAAAATGCACCATGCTAAGGTGTGCTTGTAGCTAGTAAGTCCTGCTGCTTATATTATAGCCTGGATGGAAAGAGAAGCTCCTAACCGTGAACTCTGAAACCAAAGATTTACCTAATAATTGAATAAAATAGTGTAAGAGATGACACCAAATAACTGTTACAATTTTTATAAATGGTCTGGGATGCTATAACCTAGCAGTTTTTTTTAAAGAGAAACAATGATTGAGATATAAATAATGATTAGAATATAGAGGACATTGGATGGGTCACGATCAAAACAGTCAGTTTTACTTGAGTATTTTAATGTTTTTTGAAATCACATCATTGGGACTTCCTTGAGAGGAGCCATTATATAGACTGGCTGTTAGTGACACACTTTCCAGGATCTTGGGTTCAAATTATGTTTACTTGAGGGCAGGAGATTAGACCAGATAACTTCTTGAAACTTTCCCGCTGGTGCTCATCCTAATTGTTGAAATTCATTAACTTTCTTTCTTAGCATTATGTAGATTTCTCTTTTGGCAAGTACATTCAGGAACAGAACACTGAAATCTGACATATTTGTCTTTTAAAGTAGGATGTTCTGGAATGATGAGAATTTTTTTCTTGGGCCAAAGTACTAATTCTTGTGTTGTTTCTTTCTTTCGTGTTTTTTTTTTTTTTTTTTTTAAGTAGCATAAGTCTGGCCTTCTGGTCTGTTTCCCAAATTGATCTAGTTAGTATAACTGATGTATAATATTGGTGACAGACTTAGAATTTTAAGTCTGATGAATATTTATTCAGTCAGTAAATGTCACCAAAAAGAGAGAAGCACTAGGAGCTTACCATAATGTTACAGAATTGGAAATTACATATCTATTAATAATAATAAATATAACTAAGAGGATATTTATAGATACTAAGAGCTTATTATAGAGGTTAGAATGTTCAAAATATTTTTTAAGTATGCATAAAAAATAGTTACCTGAGATGAAGATCATTGTTAAATATTTGCTAACCCCAGTTCCAGGTGAGAAACATTTGAGACAAAACTACTTTTCAAAACAAATTGGCATATATGTTGTTAACAATAGACTTGTTAACTGAGTAAATCAATGGACTCTTTTTTAATAATAGTAAAACAAACAAGCAAACAAAAAACACAGTAACAAGGAGTTTGTTTGGAATTTTAGCCAACTTCATGTATTGCAGGTACCCCTGCCACACAAGCCAAACAAGTTTGCAGACCCAGTGCGCGCAGGTCTACCCGGCCCAAGCCTGCCAGGCTCCTGCCCGAGCTGCTGGGAGGCTCTCCTCCCCAGAAGACTCTTGATCCCAGGCTGGGCCCCTGCCCTGTGTCTGAGTCGGGTTGGGTCTCCAGCTCATCTTCCAGTGGTGAGCCTGGGAACCAAAGGAGAAGTGTTCACGTTGACTTCCTTGAACCCCAGAGGGATCCTGGCAGGGAATCCTGGGATATGGAAAGCACTGCAGTGATGATGAAGAAAAAGAAGAAGAAATCAAAGCAAAAGAGATACTGTCAGCCCCGGACTGGAGGGTCTTGGGATGATGACAATGCAGATGAGCCTCAAAATCTTCGCTTTGCAGCTGACCCACGAAAATCTGCTGTTCTCCCCAGCCAGTCTGTCACTATGGGCGCAGAATGCAGACTTGTATCCAAAGAAAACTTGGAAAGTGTAGCTGACTCCAGAGCAACCAAACTGGTACCCGAGAACTTTGTCTCAGAGGGTCTCCAAATTCCCTTATGTCCTTCCGAAGAACCTCCAAAAACTTCAGTAAACTCTCAGGCAAAGTTGGAAGTAGAAGATGAGGGCAAATGTAACAAGTCTGTCCTGCAGAGCCAAGACAATAAATCGCTGCAGCAAGAAGCACCCAGACCACAGCCTGCACCCCACCTGAGGGGCTCTGTGAATGAAAGCCCTCTCCATCTGAAAGGATCCCCAACAGAATTTTCTGCACCCAAAGTAGAAACTCTTTTAGAGGTCATACCCAAAGAAGGTGGTTCTCCAATCTTGGACCAAGAAATTATAGTTGGAGTTTCAAAACTCACAGCAGCAAAAGAACTGCCTAATTCGATGCCTACTTTGACAACAAGTAATCAGTTAGAAAGCAGTGTAAAGGAAGGGAATGATGAAAGTAAAGTGACTACACTGAAGAATGTCAAACAAAAAGAATTTCCTGAAGGAGCGGAGGAGGTTAAAGGACTAAAAAAGAAAGCATTTCCCAAGCGAAGAGAGGAGATCAGCATCTTTGCATCTGAGCAGCTGCAGGGCCAGGTGTTTGTTCAGGGCTCTGGGCTAGGGAATGAGCCATTTAAGAGAGTTTTAGGTGATGGCAAAAGCAGGAAAGGCAGGACAGGGTCAGGAAAAATGAAAGCAAATTCAGGGAAGTTAAGAGAGAAACCTGAGCAGGCATTGTTTCTGGACAGCCAGAAGGATGGCAGGGCTGTTGTTGCGCCAACCGAGCCAATTCCTAAAACTGAAGGAGTGACTGCCAGGGATACAAGTGAGGAGCTGGGCCTGGACCCTTCAAAGCAGACTGGGGCCAGGACTGATGCCACTGAGACAGTGGTGATGAGGGAGCATGAGGAAGCTACTGACCCGAGGGTAGCAGACATACTGCAGGCATTGAATTCTTTGGAAAATGGATCCAGCATGACTGAAGTTTCTGGTTCTGGGACAGAAAAAGGAGCTATAGATAAAGATATGGGTGTTAGTAACCAGGGCAGAGAAGGAAAGTGTCCTTGGATGGATCATGAGGCACTTTCCTGCATTTCTGAAAAGCCTAAGAAGAGAGGTCATGAGGGCAAAGCCAAAAAGTTTAAAACTGATTATTCCCTACAGCCTGGTAGAAAGGAAAGCAGGGAAGATAACCTCAACCCTCTGGTAGTGGAAGATAGAGATGCCACTGATGGTGTTCCCCATAAAAACAAGGAATTAAACCCCATTTTCCCCAAAATGCATGATCCTTTTTTCTCACATACACCATTGGTTGACAGCATGGGCAGAAATATTGAGGTTAATTATGCTGAGCTTGGGATTCTTGAGGGGAACAAAACAAAAACAATCAAGGATTCTGCTATTACTGAACCAGCTGCCAAGGTGACAGATGTGAGCTGCCAAGGGCAAATCCAAGGGGCAGGATTTGTTCTTTCAGCACTGTCTGAGGAGAATAAAACAGATGCAGCCAAAGGACACATTGCAGTGGCTGACAAACCAAATAAAAGTAGTAGTGGTGGAAAAAGTAAAAAGGTTAAAAATAGTTTTCCTGAGAAGCACATTCTGGAGAATAAGATAGATGTAGCAGAAATACATGTTCCCATGGAAACCGCAGAGGACCACAGAATTGAAGGAATGGGCTACGTAGACGAAAATAGAAATATTACATTTACCTGTCCCAGAACACCATCAGGGCTAATGGATAAGTCAGTGTCTCTAGAAGCTGTAGAATCAGCAGCCTGTGAAAAACTTCCCATTCCTATTCCTCAAGCTGTGAAAGAAGGTGGTTCCTTTCTAGACACCTCAGGAAAAAGTGGGCAAGCGATAACCCCAGCCCAGGTTTCCAAATTGTTAGCAGTAGATGAGTCTAACAAAGATGGAGTCCCAGGTCCAGAAAAGCCCAAGATTCCCTCTGCTGTTAAACCTCCTGCAAGCACAGGAGGACTTGCCCTGACTTCTACTGCAACTGTGGAAACAGTTAATAGTCATGGAGACCATTGTCTTAAGGATAAAGGTGAACTTGCTGATCCCATAAAAAATGAAGCACGGGTAGGTATAGGGCATGTGGGAGGAGAATCTGGGTCATTGCACACTGATGCATCTCAGCATTCAGTGGAGAAAGTCACAGAGAAAGCAAAAGGGCACCTTCTTCCTGGAATTCCAGAGGACCAGAGCCTGCCAGGAAAGGTCAGAGTCCCAGAAGCATATGCAGATAGGGTTAATTTCCCCACATATCCAGTAAGCAAAGAGGAGACTGAGGAAGCTCCTGCTCCAGTTCAAACTGCTGAGTTACTGGGAGACAATGGACACAAACTCAGCATTTGTGAGGGCCCAAATGCTGAAGATAAAGATTCCAAGGGCGCAGATAGTTTGAATAAAGAGGTAGATGTGACTCTTTCACCTCCAAAAAGTGAAAAGGATCAATTAGAAGAAATTAGTCTGGCTTGTGAAATCACAGAATTGGAATGTGTTTCTTTGCCGACACCAGAGCTTCCATCAGGTATTTTCCATGGTAAAAGTGCAGCTCCGCCAGGAGTGGCGGATGTATTAGAAATGACTGCTTCCAAGGGTTTTCAACTCCCAGAACTCAAAGAAAAGATCCTGGAGTCATCGCAGAACATGGCAGAAAATTTTGAACCAAAGACATTGGGTGAAAGAAAGAAGGAAGATAAAAGAAAGGCAGAACCCTTGAAAGGCTACATGAGGCCTACCAAGTCCCGAGGACTTACTCCTGTTTTGCCAAAGCCTGCAGTCCAGGAACTAGAGAAATCCAAGCAGCTGAAATCCAGTGGTATGAACCTGCCATGGGGAAGTGTGTGTGCTTACTGTGGCTTTTGAGTCGGCATCAAAAAGGCAGAGAGCTTGTGCCTTGGTTCCATCCAGACAATAATCATCTCTTAACTGTTGTTGTGTTGGCATGAGTTCCCGTAACTGCTGCTTCTGTGTTTTCTGCAGCCAAGGCATGCTTCATGCCCAGCTGGAAAAGGCAGGTGATTTAGTTGCATGCCTTTTTACATAGCACTGAAGCTTGAATTTTAGAGAAAGTTGAATTTCTTTTTTTTTTTTTTTTTTGAGAAAGTTGAATTTCAAACAATGAATTGTTTAGCAGAAGACCTACCACCATCCATTATTTTATTCTTAATAATAAAAAAAAGAGTTGTGCCTCCTATATGTAAAGTTTACAGCCAAATTTTAATGAGTATTTGGCATAAAGATTCAGGAGTGGAAAGAAAGTATTTCATGTCTTTCTGTGTATGTGAGGCACCCCCCTCAGTATTTATGTAGATATGGTGCTCGTGGGAATAAATATCCAAATCATTTTTAGACTAAACTTTAGAAGGTCCATCTGCCTCCTTATGAGGAAATGGTAGCCGCAGACCAGCATTGGTAAGGACAGACTTTGTGTTTATACTGGTAGAAAATGATCTCTCAGCCGTGCAGTCACATTCTTTGACCAGCTTGTTGTTTGTATTCATTGGTCAACAGTTGCATGTAGGTTAATGGTTGTGGGCACAGTTTGTGTCTGTGAAATAGTCCATAAAATGTGCCCATGTTGGATTCCTTACAATTTTTCCCTTTTTAGCTCTAGTCAATGAAGTGATTGGAATGAAATTGAGAAGATGATTCCTTGAAGATTTGGAAATGTTAGCCTCACTCCTTGCTAACTAAAATTATGCACCCAATTGTGGCTTTCCTGAGTCTAATCTTCAGAAATATGTTTCTGGTCTTTGAGGTTGTTCACAGCTATTTCCCAGCTTGCATGATGCAGCTACTAACATCAAAAGTTTTTTAAGAGTGCTTGGATTTACTAGCCAGTCAGGCTTTTGGAGAGGCTGATCTTGAACTTGTGTTTTGCACGGACTTGGTTTTTTTTGAATAAAGCTTGTGCTATGCATGAATTTATATCCAGTTAGAAAAACTTGCTGTGTGAGTCAAGAATGCTAAAGATTGTTATTTGCATAAAATATTTTTATCTTTTCTCTTTTTATCTTTCTTCTATTAGCAACTCTATAACCAAGGCAGAAAATGAAGCACAGTAGTATATGGGGGGTTCATGATTTCTAGCCTCCCTCTCAGTGTTTTAATTTTGGGTTCTAGACCAGTTCTTTAGTTTCAGCAATGATCCAAAGGGTAACATGTAAATTTTTGTGAAAATCTTGCCTTATATCTTTTTTTAATTAGTTTATTTGAAAAGCACAGTGACAAAGAAGGAAAGAGAGAGAGCACGCTTTAGTCTACTAGCTCACTTCTCACAATGCCCACAGTAACAAGGGCAAGGGCTAGGCCAGACTAAAGCCAGGAGCCAGGAACACCATTCTGGTCTCCTACAGGGGTGGCAAGAACTGAGGTATTTTGTCCATCTTTCACTGCCTTAACAGATGCTTTAGAGGGAGTTGGATCAGAAGCAGAGTAACTGATGGGACTGAAACTGATACAGAATACCACTGTCACAAATGACAACTTAATCTTCTCTGCCCCAACACCAGCCCCTCATCATTTCTTTTTGCTCAGTATTTCCAAAGAAATGTGAGAGGGGAATTTGTTCTTGAGGAAGCAACAATTGCTACAGAGCTTTTTGGGCCCTGCCTTGGTCAGACCAGGCTCAGAGACTGTTAGGACTGGCATGAGGTGAGGGTAATGGATCTTAGAGGAAGTTTATTGTTTATTTTCTAAATTCCATTGTACCATTTCCTTGAGGACAATTTATCCTTTGCAATAGCTTAAAAGTGATTTTTAAACTAATCTGAATAAGTTAGTACAATCAAGTGGTACAGGGGAGTATTCAAAAAGTACAAGGCTGCATCCCTCTGTTTTCCGCTTACAGTTTTCCTTCTTCTTCTTCTTCTTCTTCTTTCTTCTTTCTTCTTTCTATTTGTTTATTTACTTGAAAGAGTTACACAGAGAGAGAAGGAGAGGCAGAGAGAGAGTGAGTTCCTCCATTCTGTTGGTTCACTCCCCAAATGACCGCAGAGCTGAACTGACCCGAAGCCAGAAACTAGGAGCCAGGAACCAGAAGCCAGGAGCCTCTTCTGGGTCTCCCACGGGGGTGCAGGAACCCAAGCTCTTGGGCCATCTTCCACTGCTTTCCCAGGCCATAACAGGGAGCTGGATTGGAAGTGGAATAGCCAGGACTCGAACCAGTGCCCATATGGGATGGTGGGACTGCAGGCCTTGGCCTCATCCACTATGCCACAGTGCCGGCCCCCAGTTTTCCCTCTTCTGAGACAACCCATGTTAACAGTATTGTCCATATCCTTCTAGACAATTTATATATAAAGCAGCGATGACATACATATTTTCTGGTTTTATATGGGACATGACATATATACTGATGCACGCCTAGTTTTTTAAACTAAACAATTTTTAAGGAGACCTTTGCAAACTGCTACAAAGAAAAGGGTATCTCTTTCTTTATTAATAGCTGTATAATTTCATGGTTTGGATGTACCCTAATGTATTGTACCACTTCTTTATTGATGAATATTTTGGTGTTTTTAAAATTTTTTTCCCTATTAGAAACAAGGTGCATTAAACTATCCTTGTCTTAACAGAATGTAATGACTTTTTGTGTCTTATCAAGCTTACATGATCCATACCCACTGGGAACTTATAAAAATACTTTTGGTTGTCTTTTTAACTTCTCATATTTTAAGTCTTTCATCAATCTAGAATTTGTAGAATTTTGTTTTTTGGGTTTTGGTCTTATGTTTAAACAAGATGTGAGGTGGGATTACTTGGTTATCTCACTATCATTTGTGTCTGTCTCCCACTGAAATGCTACCCTTCTGGTGCTGTAAATTCCTGTGTGTATTTTATCTATTTCTGTACTTTTTCTGTTCCATTGAACTTTCAATTCAGGTTTTAATAGCACAGTGTGACTTAATATATTTTTTTCTTTATTTTTATTTTTTTATTTTTTGACAGGCAGAGTGGACAGTGAGAGAGAGAGAGACAGGGAGAAAGGTCTTCCTTTTCTGTTGGTTCACCCCGCAATGGCCACTGTGGCTGGCGCGCTGTGGCCGGCGCACCATGCTGATCCGAAACCAGGAGCCAGGTGCTTCTCCCTGGTCTCCCATGACATCCTTCACTGCACTCCCGGGCCACAGAAAAGCTGGACTGGAAGAGGAGCAACCGGGACAGAATCCAGCACCCCTACCGGGACTAGAACTCGGTGTGCCGGCACCGCAGGCGGAGGATTAGCCTATTGAGCCACAGCGCTGGCCAAATATATTTTAATGTATAACAGATGTAGCCTCACTTCTTGCCTTAATACTCTTTCTGAATTGTCCTAGCTATTCTCACTTGTTTTCTTGTTACAAATAAATGAGAATTGGCTTGTATATTTTGGAAAAGAATAATAAGCTAGTCACTGTTTTCCTTGTGCACACTAATTCTCTAGATTATCCTAAGGGGACTTGTCTCATATGTTGAGTTTTTCTGTCCATCAGCGTGATGTGCCACTCACATGTTCATCTGCTGTTCTGACACTGGTACTTTAATATTTTCTTCATGCAGACCATAGGTATTTCTAGTATGCTTATTCCAAGGGTACCAGGAAGTAGACGAATGAGCAGACATAGAGCTTTAAGCAACTTTGGGACTCTGGGGGAGGAGCCTCTGTGGACTGAAGAGTATAGTGAATTGTGAGAGGGGACTGTGCTCATCTAACCTTGGTTCTTGTAAGCTTTGATGTGTCACCCGTGACTGATACTAGACTTAGCTTTATTAAATTTTCTCTTTGTTCTTTGCATTGAATCATTCTTGCTAATTGTGCTGTCCCTAGATTGTTAATAATCCTCACATCTTGTCCTCATTTATTCTGTGGGTGTATGGTGTTACCTATAGTTTTTACTGTTTTGGCAATAAAGATAGTAGTAGTAGTAGTAGTAGTAGTAGTAGTAGTAGTAATAAAAATAATAACACCTACCATCTGTTATGAAGATGATGTGTCTGATTAATCATATATATGACCTATAATACTATGAAAGATTCTCTTCATTATCTAGGTGAGAAAATGTTCAACTCTTGAGGTTAGGGTCACACAGATAATAAGTAGCAAAGCTGGAATCTGAACCCAAGTCTTTCTAAAGCCCATGATTTCCTCATTCTTGCCTCAGAAAAACCTTCCAAAAGTTTTAGATACTTAAGATGGAAGTTGATAATTAATAGTTAAATATCTTTATTTTGGCAATTAGGCAGTTTTCTAGCTGTAGAAATAGAGACACATGAGGACATAAACAGTGAATCAAAGGTTAATTTTTAGATTAGAGAGAATCTAGGTTTGTTTTCTTTTGTTTTTTAGATATAGAGTTATAGAGAGAGGAAGGGAAAAACAAAGGTTTTCCATCTGCTGGTTCACTCCCCAAATGGCCACAATGGCCGGAGCTAAGCCATTCTGAAATCAGGAGTCAGGATCATCTTCTGGGTCTCCCATATGGGTTTAGGGGCCCGAGCACTTGGGCCATCTTCTGCTTATTTCCCAGTCCATAGCAGAGAGCTGGATAGGAAAAGATGAACCTGGGACGAGAACCAACGCCCATACAGGATACTGGCAGAGGATTAACCTACTACACCACAGTGCCAGCCCCAGAATCTAGGTCTTTGGACTGTCTAGTACTTTATTCTCCAGAGTCTGTGTTTGATGTATTGAAGTGTTCTTTTTATCACCTCGCCTAGAGCTTTACAGGCTTATGGTACCCTGTGACATTTTTGGTGTTAGACACAAATTATCTTGCTGATCTTAATCTTACTTAAAGTAAAGGAATTCTCTTCTTCCTTATGCTTCTTTTT